CCGTCAGGGACTACATTTCCCACAGTCCTCTGTGTGTCAGTCAGGGACTACATTTCCCACAGTCCTCTGTGTGTCCGTCAGGGACTACATTTCCCACAGTCCTCTGTGTGTCCGTGGCAGGAAGTGGCCGTCAGAGACTACATTTCCCACAGTCCTCTGTGTGTCCGTCAGGGACTACATTTCCCACAGTCCTCTGTGTGTTCGTGGCAGGAAGTGGCCGTCAGAGACTACATTTCCCACAGTCCTCTGTATGTCCGTCAGGGACTACATTTCCCACAGTCCTCTGTGTGTCAGTCAGGGACTACATTTCCCACAGTCCTCTGTGTGTCAGTCAGGGACTACATTTCCCACAGTCCTCTGTGTGTCCGTGGCAGGAAGTGGCCGTCAGAGACTACATTTCCCACAGTCCTTTGGGTTTACCGGGTGAAACCCGCTCACGGTGTCCCCCCCCCCCCCCGTCCCGTCCCAGGGTGCTCTCCGGCATGACGGACGCGGTGCTGGCCCGCGTGTACAAACAGTCGGATCTGGACGTGCTGGCCGAGGCGGCGTCCGTCCCGGTGGTCAACGGACTCTCGGACCTGTACCACCCGGTGCAGATCCTGGCGGACTTCCTCACCCTGCAGGTCGGTGTCGTGGCTCCGCTTTACCAAACAGGGGAAAAATAATAAAATCAACAAATAATTCCAAAAAATAAAATCAACAAATAATTCCAAAAAAATTAACCAATAATTCCAAAAAAATTAACAAATAATTCCAAAAAAAATCAACGAATAATTCCTTATAGGAAAAAAACCCGGTTATTCTACAATCGCCAGACTCTGTAACTCAGAAATGAAGATCAGAGGTGTTGAGGTCGTCTAAAAAAAAAATGGTTTCACACATCCGGAGCTTTAATAGCTTTTAAGACTACATTTCCCACAGTCCTCTGTGTCCGTGGCTGTCAGAGACTACATTTCCCACAGTCCTCTGTGTGCGTGGCCGTCAGGGACTACATTTCCCACAGTCCTCTGTGTGCGTGGCCGCCAGAGACTACATTTCCCACAGTCCTTTATGTGTCCGTGGCCAACAGACATTTGAGATTTTTCTCTGTTCAGATCTGTGTCCCATTTTTTTTTTATTAAATCGGATTGTTTGATTTCTGGAACTCTTTATATGTGGAAACTCAGGCTGTTAACAGACGTGTGGGTTCACGCCGGGGTCCTGAGTTCGAGTCCAGCGAACAACCGATCTGCTCTGACGCCGACACCGTGCGGTTCTCACGGCTGTAGCTCTGTCGTTGAGCCGGAAATCGGGAACTCTGATGTCTCCAGAAATTCTCTTTATAGTGCGGATTATTTCAGCTGTACTAAAAAAATATTTTAGTTTTTCTTTTTTTCAGTGTCCCAGATTTCCAGGGTATTTTGTGTCATGAATTTTCCCCCCCCTACGGTAAATTTTATTTAAAAAATTCTAAATTATTATATTTTATAGTCAGTTATAGTATTTTGTAATCAGTAAGGCTTTAAAAGCAAGCTTATATAAAGCTAAATAAAGTAAATCATGTCATGAACTTTTTACATTTAAAATTTTATTTGAGTCAGGCATCAATTTTTTTATCTATCCTATCGATGCCGGCGTCTACAGCTCCCGTTCACGTCCCTGGATTTTCCATTCCCAGAATCCCCTCCGTCTGTGATTTCTTTATTAATTCCATTTTACGTATTTATTTACTTATTATGTATACAGTATTCTGTCTGTGTGTGTGCCTGCAGGCCAGAAGGGGGCGCCAGACCCCATTACAGATGGTTGTGAGCCACCATGTGGTGGCCGGGACTCGAACTCAGGACCCATGGAAGAGCAGGCAGCGCTCTAACCACTGAGCCGTCTCTCCAGCCCCTTTAATCCCCCTTATCCCCCTCTCTCAGGAGCACTACGGCTCGCTCCGCGGCCTCACCCTCAGCTGGATCGGGGACGGGAACAACATCCTGCACTCCATCATGATGAGCGCCGCCAAGTTCGGGATGCACCTGCAGGCGGCGACCCCCAAGGTACGAGAACTTTCTGCCTTTGTTTCTAGAATTTTCCATTTAGTATTTTTTTTCAATTTATTTATTTCAATTTATTTCAACTTATTTATTTCAATTTATTTATTTCAATTTATTTATTTCAATTTATTTCAACTTACTTTTTTCAATTTATTTATTTCATTTTATTTATTTCTATTT